TTTGTTGGCCTTTTTCATGCCATTTTCTCCTTACTTTATTATGATATATACCTTTGACCTCCTCACTGAAAGTTTTGTCTTTAAAGCATTTGTCTGGATATATTTGTCTGAGAGAGGAGGTTTTTCCCACTTAGCTTTGTGATGAATGAACATTTGTAGCATGTGTTACAACTGAGAAGATAATTTATGGATTTAAATCTGACCATCTTGCAGGACAAGGAACCGAGAGGCATTATTCCACTGGAGAATCTAAGCATCCGTGAGGTGGAAGATTCTAAGAAGCCGGTGAGTAATACTAAGCCTGGAGACTGTTGTGAAATGGGGTGAGGTCACCATTTTTGCAACCTTTCGTTCCTTTTTGTTTTTTGTTTTACTATGGTTACTAAAAGTTGAAAGCATAGTTTCTTCTTGGAAGCAAATGAAAATTCTAGTACATGCACAAAGGTAGGAAATCGTTATTCAAAACCAAAATAAATCTCCCAGAAAACTCTCCCAAGCCCTCATTGGTGCTGTTCTGCATGCTTTAAAAGAAAATGAGAGAGAATTCAAGAAAAGTGGGAGAAACCCTGAAATATGAGTTATTAAGCAGGCTTGCCAACATTGTAGAACTGGTTCTATTTCTGTTTACTCAACGAGAGAAGGAAAATTATGCATGACACCCCCATAGCAGTGAGCTCAGGGAAATCCTACAGAGGAAGAAAATAGACTTCTGAGAATTGGCCAGGTCTTACCCACAACATTTTCAAGCCCTACCTTTGCTGCCTTTGATCTATTTTACAATAAATCTTGATCAGATGATTCTTAAGGTGGTGGTCATCTAGTCCAACCCCCTGCTCAGGCAGCAAACCCTATACCATTTCAGACAAATGGCTGTCCAGTCTCTTCTTGAAAACCTCCAGGGTTGGTGGTCATGTAAAAATATAAAGGCTTTTTGGATCAAGATTTGGTGGAATATTCAAAAAATTTTTAATAGAAGGATAAAATTTATACCACAATTGTTTTTGTTAGGTATTATTGTTGATTGTGATGACAAAGAAACTATTTTAATGTTGAATTTAATTACAGCGGCAAGGCTGTTGATAGGGCAATATTGGAAGAAGGAATTTTTGCCTACTTTAGAGGAATGGTTTCTTAAAGTTTCTTATTTATCTGAAGTGGCAAAAATTTCGGCTTATTTGAAAGATCAATCACAAGAGAAATACTTTTTGGTGTGGAAAAGATGGGTGAATTTTATACAGCACAAATATGAGATTAAAAAGTATTATCTAGCTTTTGAATAATTTATGTTTAAGGAAACGATCGAACTATTGTTTTGTTTTGTTTTTATATATTGGAGTTAAAGTATTTAAAATTTTGTTGTTTTTTTTTAATGTATTTATAATTGTTTGATGTTTATTTAAGTTGTAAGGTTTTTTTTTTTTTAGTTTTTATTAACCCTGTATTCAGCTCTGGGAAGAAGGGGGGAGGATGATGGGTGGGATGGGGGGGTGGGAGAGGGGGATTATTTTATTGTAAAACTGTAAAAATTTTCAATTAAAAAAAAAAAACCTCCAGGGTTGGCACATTCACCACTTCTGGAGGCAGCTTGTTCCACTGGTTAATTGTTCTAACTGTCAGGAAGTTTCTCCTTAGTTCTAGGTTGGGTCTCTCCTTGGTTAGTTTCCATCCGTTGCTTCTTGTCCTGCCTTCAGGAGCCTTGGAAAATAGCTTGACTTATTGTTGTTGTTTTTTAGAATACCGGTATTTTATTTTAGTGCACAAAACATTTACCTGAGGCTGTCCATACTTCAGAAGTGATTTGGAAGAGATGTTCTAGATCACGAGGGAACAGTACTTCTTTATTACAAGGGAGCATTTACTTTTTTTTAATACAAATAACATTATTAAGAATGATATATATAAAAGATAAACATCAATGCAAATTACAAAAATTACAAAGAAAAGAAAAATGGGTGTGGGGAAAAAAAAGGGAAAGAAAAAGAAAAAAGAAGTAACTTCTTCCTTCATCCCAGCAGATAAAAACAATTTTAATAGCTTAACACTGTTTCTAACTGCTCTCTCCCTTTCTGAGTGAGATGGGCGGTTCAGAAATGTGAATAAATAAATACAGGGAGTAGCAAATGGCTGGATGGAGTCACTGAAGCAGTAGGTGTGAGTTTAAATGGACTCCAGAAGATGGTAGAGGACAGGAAGACCTGGAGGAACGTTGTCCATGGGGTCGCGATGGGTCGGACACGACTTCGCAATTAACAACAACAACAACAACAAATGTAGCTGTATCTTGCACTGTAGCCTGAAAAGAGATTTAGTTTAAGGAGGAGGTGATCTGCTCATGTTCCCAAGCATTCCAAATGATTTCTGAAGTATGGACACGTCTGATATGCACTGTTCTGAAATGGTTGCCCAGTAAAGATGAACTTTGTAGTATCTGAGCTATTATGGTGATGCCACATTAGCATTTGTATAAATTACTATAATCTGACTTTGGCTTAATAAAAGAAGAGACGAAGACACTTCTTGACAACACTTAACAGGTTTTCTTTTGTTCACGCCTCAGATGGAGGAGCAATCAGATCGGAAAGCTTTTTAACTATAGTTTCCTGTTTCAACTGAATTTGGAAATTAATACGATCAGTTTTGGAATAAGCGATTGATTCAAGATTAATATTGATGGTTTAGTTGGGAATCATAATTTATCATTTTGGATTACATAGGAAACTACGTTGAATTGGTATCTTCCTACTTCAGTTAACAGAAGTGGTTTATGGAACTGATATTTGCTGCAGAAAACATGTGACTTTTCTGTCAACTGAATTCTCTGTGTTAACATTTCTGACTTCATTTTGCAATAAGTTTTGACATGTCCTTCTTGCAGAACTGCTTTGAACTGTATATCCCTGACAACAAGGACCAGGTCATCAAAGCGTGTAAGACGGAGGCAGACGGACGTGTGGTAGAAGGAAACCACACTGTGTATCGCATCTCGGCACCCACTATAGAAGAGAAGGAAGAGTGGATCAAATGCATCAAGTGAGATGGAAGAAGGGAATGGCCAGTATTTGAAGCAATATGGGAATTTACTAGAACTTCGTGCATAATTCAGATTTTTGATAGGGAAGCAGTAAGAGGAAGTATAAATCTTTTGCCAAAGAAGAACCTGGAATTAGGGAGAGGGGATCAGCATTAGATTTTTGCCAATATTTGTCAATAGGCCTGTAGGGATACAGGTAGTCCTTGACTTACAACTATTTGTTTAATGACATTTTGAATTAATGACAGCCCCCCCCCCAAAAAAAATTGGTTATGGCCTAAATTCAAACTTATGACCATTATCCCACCCCTGCGGTCACATGATCTCAATTTGGGCAACTGGCTCACATTTATGACTGGTTGCATAATCCTGCACCCAGGGGTCCTTGGTTCTTTCTGAGCTTGCTTGTTTTCTTCCAGATGTTTCATTACCCAAACTAAGCAACGTCAACAGTTGATGTTACTAGTTTGGATAATGAAACATCTTCAAGAAAACAACCAAGTTCAGAGAGCACGAAGGATCCCTCATTTCAACCCTGAGCTACACATTTTCTCCTTTATTGGTATCCTCCAATCTCTTGATTATGATCTGCAATTTTAAGCAGGATTCACACTTATAACCATGTGACTTGACTTACTATTGCATTAAAGATGGGTGTAAAATCGGAACCTGTCATGCAACAATTTACAAGTGCAAGGATGTATGATGGAAATGCAAGTCCCAATTGTAGTTGTAAGTCAAGGACTACCTGTAATGCTCTGATTAAGAGGAAACGAGGTAGGACAATCCTTAATGAAATCATAATAAAACGTTTGCCTTTTTGTAGCCTAAAAAAGTGACCCGGTGATCTCCTTGTTAGGTGGGAGAATGCCCGGTGAAGAAAGGTTTTCCTTAAAGAGTTAGGAAAGAAGTTGAAGCCATTCTGAGCCTTAGTTGTTTAAGTCTTGCTGGGAACCCTTCTAAGAGTTTAATTATCTCTTTCCCCCCTGCCCCATTTTTCTTTCTTCAGAGCTGCAATCAGCCGGGACCCTTTCTACGAGATGCTTGCTGCACGCAAGAAGAAGGTTTCCTCCACCAAGCGACATTAGTCACCTTGTCTAACTCTGCGGTGGTGAACTTGGCAGGGGATACCTCTCCATCTTCTGAGGGTGGGGGACGAGAGGCTGCACTAGATCGTCTGCTCTCTATTGCTACCCTCAGGAGACCAGCTTCCGCTTTTGCTATTCTTTTCCTGTGTGGGAGCAGGAAGAAGGGAAGGGGGCGCTAAGCTGATGGCAGCCACCAATTCACTAACTTCTTTCTTAGGAAGAATGCCAGCTTCTTATCTTGGCAATCTGAACCCCACTGCATCTTCTGCAGTGCATGTGACCAGAAGAAAAAGTGGCGAGAGTCTTTTGGGCTATCATAGCTGATTTGTTCATTGTGTGAGCTAATGGAGAGGTAGAGTGCATCATGCGGTATACACCCCTAAGGGGATGTAACTCTATTTTAAGTTGCCATTGCTACTCTCTAAAGCCCAAGCACCAGGAGTGGACCATGGACCTATAGAGCAGACATGCTAGCTTTGAAGCCTGGAGATTCCAGAGACACCCCATATTGCCTTTATTTTTTATTTGTTAGTCAAGCAAGATTGGTGGCTTCTGTTCCCAAAGCGATTCAGCCAGTGTGGTCTGTTAGGCATGATTAACTGGGATCCTCTTTCACTTTTTTTATAATTAACCATTAGGAGTATTGAGCAATCACGATGTCTGCTCCAACGCCTGGATTAGTGGCCTAGTGCAAGGCTGCCATCTCCAGGATTTCCACTGTCCTCGTTCTAGAGGGCACCTGCTTTAGGTTGTTCTTGTTATTGCTGCAAGCCAGTTCACAAGCTTGCAGAAATGGGCAAGCCAATTGTGTGATTAGTATTGATGCTTTGCAGGAAGATTTTGCCAACAACATGTGGGGACTGCCCCACTCAACTGCTGGCTTTTTTTATTTAGCATTGGAATAATGGCCCAGAATAGCAGAGTTTAAGGAAGAAGAAGAAAAAAACTTCCAATAATAAGGAAGGGTAAAGCACACATCCTGATGGGTGTCTTTCTGATCAGTCCTGTTGCAGTTCTTTTTTGGCAGGGATGGGGCCGGATTAGTTCAACTGAGGTTGCCTTGGAACAGTGGAAGTAGTAGTCCTTGACTCTGAGTGAAGCACAAGTAAGAGATTAGGGATTTGGGGGTGGGTGGGTTTGCTGGCTAATATTTGAAATTAGGTTTGTGGGAGTGGGGAGGAGAGCCACAAAGAAGGCTGCCTTCCCTTGCAAAATTTTGGGGAACTCTTGATTCCTCACCCAGTTCTCCAAGCTTCCAAACCCATCTGTGTATCAGTCTATTTATCTGAGATGTAGATACTCTCTGTACAGATTTCTTACCCCTTGAGATTATTTTGTATTTGTTTTAAAGATTGTTTTTATGAAACACGACAGGATTCCTGCATATTGCTGTAGCACAAGGGGAAAATGGGGAGAGTGAAAGATATTACAGGTCAAACAGTTGGATTATAATTTTGTTTTGAATCTTTTAGGGCTGGTTTGGAACTTTTATTTCCCACAACTTTGTGATTTAGCACAGAGCACCTGCAGCAAATAAACATTGAACTCACATCTGGCTTACATTTTATCTTGTTCTGCTCGTGTTCTTCTGCCGACAATTAAGCACATTCTGTGTTCTGAGGATTGTTTTGCACCAAAAAAAAAGGAAAAAAAAAAGAATCTGGCTCTTTCTGATTAGAGGCCAGATAATGTGGGCAGCCTCTTTGAATTTGCAAAATCAAAATTGTATGAAGTAACATGATGGAGAAGGTCTTCTTCTAGCTGGGTAAACAGGGATAATGAGATTGAATTAATTTGGAATCCCAGCAACGATGTTTTTGCATGAGGTTATTGCCAGCTAATCCTAGGGTTGCCTGTTGGGAAAAAATATATATATTGAGGTGGGTCTAAGCAAATCTTAATGGCTTTGGAGGATGTTGGCAGGATGATTTGGAGTCCATTATTGGATGTAAGTCTTCCTGATTTGCACCTTATACTGAGAGATGTCTATTTAAATAATTATGTGAGATTAAAAATATGGTATATCCACTGATGCAGAAATGATGAGCTTTTCAGCCTGTGCAGACTTGTCTGCTAATGGGATTTATATATTACTTGCCATCTTGCATATAAGAACTAAGATAATTGTTGCTTACAACATTTCAGTGCTACTGTATGTAATTTAAATAAAATGCAGAGTTGCAAGATGGAGGCAGGAAGTTTCCCACTCAGACAAGAAAAGAAAATAACCAGGTTCCTTTAGAGCTAACAAGGGTAGTGCTTATCCTTGGAGCAGGCAAACAGGATAATATGCTAGACCATCTTTGGGTAATTGGAAATAAATCAGCAAGAGTTTCTGACTCCCAAGCATCTCACAACAGCCCACTAAATTAAGATGCTGAAATTAAGAAAGTGGGGGTGAGTGGAAAGGTAGTTGGGAATGGATGTTTGTATGGAAAATCTTTGAGTTGGCACATCCTGTTTCCACATTCAATATTTTACTTGCTGACCTCTTGGGGTTGTGAAGAAAGCAGATTTCACCAGCCTAAGGCAGAAGACATGGACTTTCAGGTGGGGCACCAGGGAGAGCAGGCAGCCAAAGGGAAGATTTGCCTTCCAAAACATTGCAGCTGAGTGGCTGTTGATTATGCTTTTGCATGCAGACACGACGTAATCTTAAATTTACTCCATCCTGGATGCCTTTCAAAATAGATGCTGAAATGAGATGACCATTTAGAGCAGCTGAAGGGAATCAGCAAGGCTGTCTGGAATGCTGGGTGTTGTAGTCCAGCACATCTAGTGAACACATGGTTGGATTCTAAAGAATAAATTGTGAAGCATTGCAGTATTGTAAACTACCTAGAAAGTGGAGTAGCCAATGCCATATCACTTGGCATGCCAAGTTAAATACAAATATTAATTTACTTACAGGGAGGAGGGGGTGTTGAGGGATGACTCTTCAGAGTTAGAGCTACATCCTCCATCCCCTCCAGTTTCCCAGATCATTTAGGGGGGGGGGTTGTTAATGAGCCAACTTTGTTTCCTAGTTTGCTTACAATATGTAAAGAAATGTTTGAGAAAGGAAAGGAAAAGGGGAGAGAGAGAGAGAGAGAGAGAGAGAAAGGAAAAGAAGAAAAGAAAGAAAAATAAAGAGAAAAGAAAGAAAGAAAAAGAAAGAAAGAAAGAAAGAGAAAGAAAGAAAGAAAGAAAGAAAGAAAGAAAGACATATTATTAGTCTACCTTGTCCAAAACTCAACATGTTCTGGCAGAAACCAGTCCATGGTTTCAGTGCAGGAGATGGCCAGGAATGAAATCTGAGACACTCACTGTGTTTAGTATCGCTAAGCAGACCCACCAAAACAGATATATTGTATGGTTTTGGAAGTGATTTTTTTTTTTTTTACCAAAACCCAAACCTCTGATTCATTGCCTATGCATACAAGAGTGTGTGAATCACTACAGCATTATTTCTCATTTCACTTGCAAGCAGGCAAGTACATTCACTTTATTATTTCCACTGGCAAAATGGAAAAGAAATGATTGATGCCTGATGGTGATTAGCTTCCTTTTACTGTCACTACCAGTCAGAACTTGAACTTGAAATCAGTTTTGTAGCTACCTGATTCAAGTTATGGACCTTTGTTTATTAAAGACACTCAGGAAATGAGTGCTTGTGTGTATTGTGTGTATTTCCTCAAATTTACTTTTTGAAACTCACGCCTGGTTCATTACCTGAAGATGGCAGCAAAGTGTGATTTTTGAATTGTCACTACTATTCCAGATCCTGTTTAGAATGAGAACTGTACAATTCAGACTTGCCTATCTGGAATTCAATTTTTGTGTGAAATGGCCTTTAGTCTTCACAAAGAAATCATGTCTAGAAAGTGTAAGTTGACAGTTGGGACAGGGGGAGTGTTGTGTTGATTCATACTGTACAGTACCTCACTTGATACCTACATGCAAAGCTGCTTCTGTATATGAAAAACTCCATTTCCTTCAGATCATAGAATCAGGGCTGGAAGGTCTACCAGGTCCAACCCCCTGCCCAAAATAGGAATTTTTATACCATTCAATACTAATGGATGCCCAGTCTTTTCTTGAAAACCTGCAGCGATGGAGCACCTTCAGCTCCAGGAGGCAATCTATTCCACTGATTAAGTGTTCCCAATGTAAGGAAATTTCTCCTTAGTCCCAGGTTTGATCTCTCTTTAATGAACTTCCACCTACTGCTTCTTGTCCTGCTCTTAGATGATATGCAGAATAAGTCTATCCCTTCATCTCTGTGACTATCCCTCAAATACTGGAAGACATGTCATCCCTAATCCTTCTCTTTATTAGGCTAGACATGCCTAGGGATAACTGGTTCCCTTAACTGTTCATCATATGAGTCAGCCCTGTGTGTTTGTTTGATGGTTTATCAATCATACTGAACAGTACCAAAAATTATGCAGGGACTTTAATTAAAGGTACATCTAGCACTTCCAATCCAAAGATGTGTAATTAATATGCTTTTTTCTCCTTAATTGAAGTTTTATGCGAGGTAGGGAATGACGGAAGGCGCAGTGGAGAAAATCAGGAATTGTACATTAATACATTAATTGTATTAATGTACAATTCCATTAATAATGTTTCAATAATCCAGCATTTCTTTTAAGAGCTTCATTTGGATGTTGTTTAGGACAATCGCATGAAGAGAGATCTGGGATAGACAGAGGAAGAATAATGGCTTGCATTGGTTTTTCACCTGTTTGATTCCTTCAAGATGTGTTGGGACCAGTATTTCCCAGTCAAAACTTAATTTTAAATTGGTAATTTTTTAAAAAAAAGTAAAGTTTAGAGTGCTTCCTGAACAATTATGGGGAGAATGATGGGTATCTATAGAGAGATGATGCTTGTACATGAAATTTGCATGGCTCCATTTCCCAAAGTAATCTTCCATTGAAAACTCCCTAGTTAAAAAAAAATCTATGTACTTTGATTCTCCATGGCTATCTTTAGATGACAAGAATTTTGGTTTTCCAACCCTTCTGAATTTCTTTTAAAGCTTGCCCAACATTAATTTTGGCTGCTCTTACCACTTCAGCTCTATTGTGGCAACAATGTGTTCTAAGGATGAGTATATTTAGAGAAGCTCAAGAAAACTGCCAGCATAATAAGCCTTTATGGCCAATTAGTTGAGCATAGAAAGTGAGGTATCTATGCCAACCAGTCTTATCCATTCTCCATGAACTGGAAAGCATATCTTTCCTCATCTCCATAAAAAGTTAATAACTTGCTCTCTATATCTGTGCTCATTATGGTGGCAAGCATCCACTGCCTTCTAAACTCTTAATGCTGGCATGGCAGCAGTTTTGTTTATTTAATAGCCTAACCTACTGGAAACACAGGAAGTGAGAAGAGAGGATGTGAATCCCTTTGAATGAGAGCACAGATTACCCACCAAAGCAAAATAAATAAATAAAAATAAAATAAAATAATGTGTGGTTTCAGAAGTGATTTTTCATCCTTCACCAAAACTCAGATGGATTCATTCACAAGGACAAGTCCTTCACTGATGACTATATTTGATCACAAGGGGGCTCCCTTGTGACAGATCCAGAGCTGAAGTTTAATCTGCAATAATAAACTTCTAAATAACTCTACATTGAGCAAATTGTGTGAATGTATGATTGCAGCTGCAAAGCTTCTTATCAACTGGCCCAATGGAAACTCAAAAGGAACAAAGGAGAACCTGACAGTTTATTATAAATAACTTGCAAGGGAAGAATTAAAATTGGGATGGTGTCCAGGAAACATGTGAGACTTCATGCTATTATGTCTCTGTAAAGTGTTCAGGCTATCTTCCTTCTCTTCCCCCCCCCCCAAGAAGTTTGGGGATATATTATAGCTCCTTGTAAAGATAAAAGTGCTATAACTCGCTTTTATATTACGTATTTGAGATTCTTGCATCTGCCAGCTTTCCTCTAAGGAGTCTACAGAGAATAATAAAAATTATGATAGATTTCTGTCATCTAGAGACTAGAAACATCTGTCATCTCCTTTAATTGTTCACAAGTGCAATATGTTGGTGCCACTACTAACTACTAAATGGATGGCATTTACTAACTAGTGGCACCAACATACTGGACCACAGTTTTAGGAGAAGCTGTTGATAAATGCAAATGCATTCTGAAGATGGCTGGGAATATTCCTAAATCTCTTTTTCTTCAACTGCACTTAGATGTGGTTTAAGAATTAATGCTACACATTTCCTCTGTATATAAAGTGTGATAAGTTTATCACAGTTTCTCTGTAATATATAACAAAGGTAACGAATGTCTCAATTCTGCCCTGTCCTCAAAAATTCTTCACACAGAGATAGAGATCAATGCAATCTTTTTTCTTCCAGATTGCCAAACATTGTACTGAACCTCAATCCCTTTGTAATCCCAAACATATATTAAACATACATTAATTCCAATTAGCCAGATGTGATGCAGATTAAGATTTTATTAAGTAAAAGAATGGAAAATTGTGGAGAAGCCATAACAAAAAAAATCATTTGAAGGCAACTATATCTAGTCATTAGTGTTCGTTACCACTATGATTCACAGATGATTCCTTGAAAATAGCTTGCTTTATTTATTGCAAAATGTGAGTCAGACTACCTATACTAAAGATGGGGAAGTCATGTTGTAGGGATTGCTGAACTACAGCTTCCAGTAGACCCAGCAGTATCTGAAAGGGCACACTGCCCATTCCCTCTTCTAGGTTATTCCAGAATTGGACGGCCACTGCTTTTCTGTGTCATCTTATTGATCATTCAAAGGCATCTTCCATTTTAGTTGAATGTTCTTAGACCAGTTTGCTATAGCACCCTTCTCCAACACAGTCCTCACATGGAAAGGTTTCTGGGATTATGTGAAGCTCGGATGTTATTATTAATTTTTCACTTGAATCCCCAAAGCCGGCATATGTAGCCTGTAATGGAATCATATTCTTTAAAGCCCTGCTTCAGAACGGGGTCCAAAAAAATGCTGTGCCAAACAGTTCCTTATTCTTCAATTTACATTGCTCATGAAGATGGTGGGGATTCATTAAAGGGCATAGCTGGGAAGCTATATTAACATGCAGTCCGTCTATTTTTGAGCTAGCAGAGAAGGGATAGTGCAATATAATACTGTTTGCCCTTCTGGTTAGCAAGTAGTACTGCCCTTATAGATTTAACACAGCATAAATTAAGCAAATTGTTTTTTCCACTGAGTATTATCTTCCAGGTAATATTTATTTATTTATTTATTTATATCCAGACTTTATTTATCCAAATAACTCAAGGCAGTGAACATATCCAATGCACCCTCCTCCTCCTATTTACCCCACAACAGCAATTCTGTGAGATTGGCTTTTATGGCTAAGGTAGGACTACAACTCACACTCTCCTGCTTTCTAGCCTGGTGTCCTAACCATTCGACCAAACTGGCTCTCACTTTAGTGTGATTCTAAGAATTACTAATTCTAAAGAATTATTAGCGTAATTCCACACTCTAAAGTGGGTTGCCTCTAGGACACGAAGTTATTTTTGATAGATCTATATTCTGGTATTGAGGATGCTGATGTATGAACTCAGCAGGGATCACCTGGTAAGACAGGAGAAATTTCTCCTGATTCCATAGATCAGCCACAGGTCAGGCACCTGGGAAGTAAAGGGACAAGACTCTCAGGAGCAGTGGAAAAGAGTTAATTTAAAATGGAAGCATCTAAAGACAATGGAAAATACAGCTGCTTTTATAAGAAAAAATATCAAGTGGGAGCAGAAGACAAACTCCATGTCATTGCCTAGGGCTATCAGATAACCACTTGTCCCCCCCCCGAAAATGTGGCCCTCCCCTTCTCACATTAGTTCTAGCCCTCATTTCCCCTTGTTTATTCCTCCTTTGAAACAACAAAGACAGAGGTAGATGCAGAAGCATTTGCAGAATAGGACACTTGCATCAGAATGCTGAAATAATTTCTGCAGTAGACTTTCTGCCACCTAAGTACAGACAACTCCAAAAGGGATGGATTGTCCATATCATCATTTACCCCCTCTGCCCCTGCAAACCTCAAGCCCACCCCTCCCCTCCCCTTTCAAACATTAGAATACCCAGGATCTTAATTAAAGCATGCTCCTTTTGCAAGTGTGAAACAATTCTTGCGTGCAGGGGTAGGGATGTGGCCTATTTTAAAAACTTTTGGTCCCCCCCCACTCTATCCCAAGCCCAGCTTTATAAAAGCTGATTATTCAGGTAAGAAGTCTTGAATATCCAGAAGTGGAGGGAGCCCAGTCTTTAACTTTGACTGCCCTCCCCACCCCCATGAAAACATTATCTGCAAAACTCAATATTTACCTCAATGAAGAATCCTGTCCATCCTTTGTCTGGGTTTTTCATTTCTTTCTTATAAACATTTGTGCTCTTTCCAAGAACGAAAAAGACAAGAAATAGTTGATTACCGTTTAGAAAGCTGAAATCATCCATGAGGAAATAAGATATCAAACCACTGATGTATCTGAATAAGTACAAAGACTGATAATGGCTTTTTTGAGTTTTTGCTAGTTTTGGCCAGATTGAGCCTGAATATGCAGTCTGGGGAGCTGACCCATATATTGAGAAAGGAAGGCAAAGCAGATAAAAACAAATGTTTTGCTGCATTGAAAATGGCCAGATAGGACAATCAAGGATCTGGCCCAAGGTGAGATCTGGATAGCCACTCTATCTGATGAGTTACAATATGCTAAAGCTTCTTCAGAGATGACAGATGAAGGAGCTGCTTAGGTAGACACTCTATGGTGAGGTATGTTGGGAACTGTAGTGTAACAGCAATATTTAAACATCCATAAGTTTCCTAGGGGTGCTTGCTATTAATTGGATGGCTTTATTTTTCTCCACCAAAGCTGAATGAATGAGTGAATGAATGAATGAACAAATGAATAAATGAACAAACGAACGAATGAATGTCTACTCACCACTTTCTTCACTTTAGCACGATTCCATTTAATAGGATTCCTTTTAGCTTCTTGTCCAGATAACACATGCATCCGGAAATCTCTCCTACAGATGTTAAAAGTAGAGGAGAAAATTGTACACTCCCGTATTTTTTCTTCCTCCTTTTTGGAATAGGTTTATTTCTCATTTTAATTCTATATCTTACATCATTTTTTAAAAAATTATGTCATTTAGTTTTGCAAAATTAACTCTCAAAAACAGACAGAAAATGAATATATATATATATATATATATATATATATATATATATATGTATGTATGTATGTATGTATGTATGTATGTATGTATGTATGTATAGGGCCCCAATACCTTGTTTCATCATTAGTGTTAGCATAGTAAGCATAGATCAATGAAGGCTCCTGGTCTGTGGAAAAGTAAATAGCTCCTCCAGTATTTTTCTAGAAAAAGAGGAAGGATCAGTGAGAAAGAAATGAAGGCAGGTGTCCTTCTGAGTGTTGTTTTCCTTTTCCCTAAATGGAAACAAAAAACACTGTTGGTATGTAAATCAAATCTTGGATGCCCATGTCATTAATGCTGCCTTCTCCAATTTGCTGCTGTTCTGATGTATTGGAAGTCAACCCTCATCACCCTCTATTATGACCCGATGAAATCAAGATATGATGGACTATCAGTTAAATTGCTGTCTATACACCTGATCTATGGAAAAAGCAAACTTTGGTAACTTGAAGCTGGATTTGATATTTGGAAAGGGTAAGAATGATGGCTGCAAAACATGCACCAAGAGACAGACACATCAGCGCATGGGTGGGTCTGTGATTCTTCTTTTTAAAGGATAGGGTCTTTCTGTTATGTCTGTTTAAGGTTTACATTCCTATTCATCTGATGCCTTCTGTTCTGAGAGAATTAAATGGTTACTGGACCACAGAGAGCTCTGTGCAAAATCAGCAGTGAAAGCAACACTGGGGCACCAGGAAAGAGACAGGCAAGCAAATCCTTTTTGCCTTAGCTATCTCAGCTGCAGTGAGATCCTTGGTAAGCTGGTATCTGGGTGGACAGGACTGCGAGTGAATGTATGGACCTTGATCCTTACCCCAACAATTGGTATTGCATGTGGTCCTCAGGGCCGTAATCCTCCTGCTCCAGCTCTCCTTCTCCCAACAACCCAAGTTCTCCCACCCACCCTCATCACTCCAGTTCTCAAAGTACATTTTCCCACTCAGAATTGGATAGGGAGTACAGTCTATATGGGGTGGCTGTGACTAATGTTTGCTCAAAATAAAGAAATAGCTAATTTAAACACTTACTTAAAAATAATGAGTAATGTAACAAAGGTTTCCCAACCAGTGTACACCAGGGGTATTAGTGACTGAAACCCTTAGAATTCCCAACCACTCCATCTGGAGGGTTCCAGGTTGGTGCTTGCATTGGCCATAATATTGGATATACTACTAAGGTAATAAAGAGTGTTCTAAATTGATTGTTGAAAATGCCTTTTTGTGAGAATAGCAGAGCAACTATTTTTGGCTGTTGTGAATAATATGTCTCTTACCACAGTCCTGTTCCAATGGACCTGGGGATGCTGTTGATTCTGCATGGTGATAAGGTAAAAAGTGGCGATTGGAATTCCAATACTGTCTCCATAGAAAGCTAAGGCATGGTTCATATTTGGGATGATCCTATAAATGATCAGGGTGAGAACGGTGTGAAATGTATGCATTGCTTGAATAGTAAGAGTTCGCTTTGAAACAACTTTGTAGAGTGTTGGAATTATTGGGTTATCTGGCCTGTTTGGCTGAGTCATCAGCTGCAGTAGGCCAAGGTATGCGGAAGTCAAAAGTGAAAAAACAAGTTTGTGCCGTGCGGTGCAAGGGAATGTTGTTTTGGTGTTTGTTAGTGCCGTGTGCAACAGCTGTATAGTAGCGTGTGCAAAACAAAGTTAGCACGTGTAATATGCTAATATGCTGTGTCATAACAAATGTGGTTGGTGTAAGGTGGTCACCAGGTGCCTATAAACCCGCCTTCTGATAACACAATAAAAGGGATGCTTCGTCTTTGTTCGAGGCTCCCATCCCGAGGAAACCACGTGTACGTGTCTGTTCTTCAACACCCATGGGAGACCGCTGGCGCGTGAAAACCCACAGTAGAGTTGCCTATTTAATTTTGCATTGGCACACAAAGTAAACAAATCCTTAAGTCTGCTATGGTGTTAAAATAAGCTGCAGCACTGGGTTATTTTTCTGCTCCCAAACAATATGCCATTCCTCCTTTACTTTGACCAAGGAGGCTATTTAGTGATCCTTGGATATTATATAGGATTGATGCTACTCATGTATCAGTAAAGTCCAATAAATTCACAAACTGTATCAGAGAACTGGAATTCAAGATATAATCTGAGGCAATTTCCAAATAAGGCAAGCTTGTCATTATTACAAGGCATTTAGGAATAGTAAGTCTGATTCTTCTCCTCCACTGCCTCTCATTAAGCTCTAGATTAATTAATTAAACTCATCCATTGAGTTTATTGTCCGAAGGAGGGATTGGACTTTGCCCAGCACAATTTTTTTTTCATTTTAAATCGAAAGTGACCATCTAACCTATGCTACCAGTATAGTTGTTGCAAGAGTTGAATTGTAATTGTAATAAAATCCCTTGGATGAACTGTTTTTGTACAATTTATTTGCAACTCATTAATTCAAACTCTTGCTGAGCACTGATTATTTCTCAACTCTTCTCCACTCTTCTAAAAATGCAACCCCCCCCTCTCTCTACACACACACACACACACACACACACACATAACAGAGAACATTCTACTATGGCTCAACTCACCGGAGATATTTCTTTCCTGTTAGCTGATTAAAATAATAATAAGAATTGTCAGGCTGGCCCATTTCATCTCCTGATGCCACAATTAGATACTTTGCTTTGTTGACATAATGCTCATTATATTCTGGGAACAGAAAAAAAGGGGGGGGAAGGAAGGTGTGGGTCTCAGCCTTGCCTCAAGTTGAGCACAGAGCAAAATAGGATAGGGGTAATTGTTTGGAGGAAAGAGAATAGAACTGCTTTTGATATTTAATTTCTCCCCTCACCCACACCTTAACTATATGTCAGCCCTTCAAGGCAGACTTGGACACCAAAGTAGAGGTCAAAGTAACAGAATCTTGAAACTCTGATTGCATCTTCCCCTTCCTGCCTTTATCCTGAAGAGAATTAGGGAAGGTCTGGTCTGAGACATTTTCTCAAACTATTTCTTCTTTGGGCTGAGATTTCTCTTATCCGACCATTCCATTGGCTATAGCTCTCCCACCTGTTCCTCAAGGTTATTCTCACAGCCCATCATTGTATGCCTCAGTTTCTTTCACACACTTTGCATCTCCCTAAATCCATTTGTCTCCTGCTAAACATCACAGTCCTATAATCTAGTCCTTCATTAATTCAACCCATTCATCTCACCTTCGGTGGTGCTTACTTACTCAAAGGGTCGATATTCGAAGCAATAAGTTCAAAACGGGGATGATCAATCTGTTGAGTAATATTGATGTAGTAGAAAGGTGCCAGTGCAAAACTCCAGCCACAATATGATCTGTACTGGTGATGTAAATTCTGCAGAAGGTTATAGCTGTGACCTTTTGATGCAATGAAGGGAAGCTTGACAAAAAGCTAAATTGTTGGCATTAGATTTTTAAGTAATGACTCCCCAGTCGCATGGGCAGACCAATTTTACAAGTACTGAACATTGTTTGGCTCCTGAGGTCCTGTCAATAATCCTGGGTTCAAACCATATTGTAGATAAATGCCAGCTTTTTCCAACCTTGTGCCCTCCATTTCTGAGAACTTCAACTCTCTGAAATTCTCAGGGGGCAGGGGATTTGCTATGAACTAGATGGGGTACACAAAAGGAGGTCTTGTGACAGAGAGTCTTAGAAAGAGATAACTTCTTCAAGGGGCATTTTAGTTAGGACTTTTGGAATGCGTCTATTTTTTTGTGACGCATCAGATAACATGTCTGCTTTGAAGCAAATGCTTATTTTCAATTTTTTTTTTTATTCTGAGTGAAGTAACAGAGATGATAATTTCAGTGAACTTTTCTAGGGACAAAAGAGAGACTTCCAATTATTTTTAGGACAGTCCAACTGTACTCCTCCTTTAAAAAAAAAAAAACCAAATGGAAAAACTTTAAATTTTTATTTTCTTTCTGGCAGTCATTTTGTATTTTCTATAAGTCCTTCACTTCACTATTACACTAGGATGTTGGGAGGAGGCTGGTGGTAGTTGCCACAGAAACTATTGGCAAAATCTGCAAAGTAGCCTTCTTTTGGGGAAGACCCCCTGAGAACTTTATGTACTTGTATTTAATCATCTCAAATCTTGAAACAAAATGCCCCTTCCAGTTTATGCAATAATTTGTAAGCCTACATATTCAAGTACAGAAGTTTAGATTCATATCTCAGCTCAATCTGAACTGAGTGGAGAAGTGACATGCAAATAGGAAAGTGCTGGTACTGATCTGACAGTAGCTTTGACAGGACAGAACGTTTTTTCCCATTAAAATGAGAGCCAGCAATGGCAGCTTGGTGCATCCATTATTTTGGACTACAACTGTTCCAGTGCTTTCCCACTTGCTGTGCTGATGAGGATCATTGTGAGGTCAAGTCCAGAAAGATCTAAAATAGGCTGCTCACCCTTCTTCCACCGTAACCCAATTTTCATTTCCATTAGCTGAAGTCACCCAATTAATGTCTGAGACCATCAGGCTTTGGTTAAGTATTCTAAGCCGTTTAACTTTATAATTATGGAACTCCTTCAAAAAGATAAGAAGCTCCTTTAGAAAAATCTGGAGAAACAGGAGATTTCTTCTGTCACAAGCCAATCTAGTATATACAAAGTACAGGTGTATAGGTACTGCATCTGAAAACTCTCACCTCAACAAAATTCAGGACGTCCATAACGACTGAGACAAATGACACCACACGCTTGTCAATGGCTGCAGTCAGCCAAGCAATCCATCCACGCTAAGAGGGGGAAGATAGAAAGATGGAGCAGAGCTGCTGGAAATAAACTCAGGAATTTTTCTGAGATGGGTAGCCTTTTAAACACTTTAATGAAGAAAGACAGTGACGAGGAGTACTTTTTTGTTGTTTACAACTGCATGACCTACTACACATCACACCACCACTCTATCACATTAAAGATTAATTGTAGATCTATATACATTTCTCTCATAACATACTTGTAGAGGGGGGGGGTTGGTTTTTTTTTTTGCTTTTATACTATTATACAGCTGTCTTGGTAGTAACTTTAAAATTTGTGCTGGCAGCCACCAGAGAATGAAGAAAGACTTCAAGCAATAGCAATAGCTTATAGATTTATATACTGTTATATACAACACTCTCTGGGTGGTTTACAAATGTCAGCCTATTGCCCCCAACAATCTGGGTCCTCATTTTAATGACCTTGGAAGGATGGAAGGCTGAGTCAACCTTGAGAGCTGTGGCAGTGCAGTGGTTAGAATACAGTATCGCAGGCTAACTCACTGCTCACTTCAGGACAGTGGTGGGATTCAAATATGTGAACAATTGGTTCTCTGTGTGGATGCTGCTTCCAGAAGTCCGTTCTGGGCCTGGGCAACAAAAAATTAGCTACCGGTTCTGCCGAAGTTGTGCGAACTGGCTGACTCCCACCACTGCTCCAGGAGTTCGAATCTTACCGGCTCAAGGTTGACTCAGCCTTCCAAGGTCGGTAAAATATGACCCAGATTGTTGGGGACAATATGCTATCTCTGTGAACTGCTTAGACAGGGCTGTAAAGCACTGCAAAGCGGTATTTAAGTCTAAATGCTATTGCTATTGAGCCCATCAGGATCGAACACCAGGCTGTGGGCAGAGCCAGGTTGCAGTGCTGCATTGTAACCATTGTGCCACTAGGGCTCAGCAATATGCAGACTCTTGGATGCCGGACAAATTTACATGGATTATCACACGTGGGCTGTAAAAGTCCAGGCAACCACTAGATGTAACTAGCAGGTATAGAAAACTCTGTTGCCATTTGGAGCTCATCAGAATTTTTTCAGCCAAGTTATGTTAGCTCTACCAAGGAAGAAATAGAAACAGAGAAGACAAAAGGGGGGGGGGTGGAATAAAAGGGAGGGGTCCACCAGAGGATGAATGGAGAGCATACCTTTAAAAAAATTCAATGTAGAAATGGAATTTTTTACATAATAATAATAAAAAATCTAAAAAAAAAAATCTAACTGTCCAGCCATCTTACTTAGGCCTTGGCCCTCTCAGATACCTTGGATGAGCCTAGCAGCATAAATTCAGTAATTTGTACATCTTCACAAGTCTGTTTCAGCAAGAAATCTGTAACTGTGTCCATGGCTCGCACAGTGGCCTGCACAGGAAGAGAGCAGGATTATAGCTTCTGCAACGAGACAGATTTCAATGCAGATTTGACATGGTACATTCAAAGCATCAACAAAATTATGATTTAAACATATATGTTTAATAGGCTCCCGTGAAAAACCAATATCTCTCTGCTGAAAGGGGGGGAAACAGAACAAGCAGTGTTCAACATGTGAGACAGCAGAACAATTATTGTAAGTTTTATTCATTTCCCATAACCTGAAAAGTTAGCCATCGCATCATCTATGTCATTAAATGTTTTGTGGCAATGCCAAGCTAATCTTAAAGCAGCCAAAAGATTTTATTTAGGTGCGCCTCTTTAAAACTGTCATTCTTTTCTAAATGTGGTACGTACAATTTATTTGCTAATGATTTTTTTAAATGAAATCTTCCTAGGAAGAGAACAACAGTATTTTAGAAACCTTTTTATTGTTCACACCTGTGAACAGTTTGATCTGAGAATGCCTTTCTCTCGTCTTTGTTTTCACTGACAACTAAGCATTGCTGACGTTAAATAGAAAGGAGTTTTCTACAGCTCACAGGGTAATCACCATGTGGTCTAAATAGCAATGGCCCCCCAACCTTTCTGGCTTGGCGGACCAGAGGAGATGGTCCTGTGGGAGTGCACATCTTCATTTGCACCAGTGCCTGCTGCTCACACAAATGGAACTTTGTGTGTAAGTGCCCACAGCTCACACAATTGGAGCCGTACATACCGGCACGCACTCACCCACCACTTGTGTGGCCTGATGTCATATATAGTACTGTAATAATAACAATAACAACAACAATGTTGGAAGGGACCTTGGAGGTCATCTAGTCCAACCCCCTGCTCAGGCAGGAAACCCTATGCCATTTCAGACAAATGGTGTCCAGTCTCTTCTTAAAAACTTCCAGTGTTGGAGCATTCATAAGTTCTGGAAGTAGGTTGTTCCACTGATTAATTGCTCTAATTGTCAGGAAATTTCTTCTTATTTCTAGGTTAGATATCTTCTTCATAAGTTTCCATCAATTGCTTCTTGTCCTGTCTTCAGATGCTTTGGAGAATAGCTGGACTCCCTCTTCTTTGTGGCAACCCCTGAGATATTGGAACACTGCTATCATTTCACCCCTACGCCTTCTCTTCATTAAACTAGACATGCCCAATTCCAGCAACCGTTCCTTATATGTTTTAGCCTCCAGTCCCCTAATCATCTTTGTTGCTCTTCTCTGTACTCTTTCTAGAATCTCAACATCTTTTTTACATCATGATGGCCTGGTTCCTAACGGGCCACAGCCCAGTAGTGGATCGTGGACCGGGCATTGGGGACTCTGGTCTACAGACACAGACTTTAGAAGGGCGTATAGTTACACAAGTCATCGGTCCTCTAGAAAGTTTCCACTGGGTTCAACAGCCACACTTTATAGTAAATATGGGAAATCTGTAGCCCTCTATATCAGCAGTCCCAACCCTTTTTGAAACCAGAGACAGGTTTCATGGAAAACAATTTTTCCACGGACCAGATAGGTGGGTGGGATGGTTTCATGCGCTTCCCAAAGCCCCCACATGTGCAGATGAAGCTTCGCTCACTTGTGTGGCTGGGTTCCTAATAGGGCACAGAGCAGTACTGGTCCATGGCTTGGAGGTTGGAGATTCCTGCTCTATATGTTGCAGATTACCAGTCTGACATTTCTGTTCATGCAGGTTGGGGCTGATAGGGATTCGAGCCCAATAATTTCTGCAGGATCCCAAGCTCTACAACCCTATAGTAAAGAAGGTGAATTTCAGGATTACCTTGACCATTGGGAATTGGATGGCCCAGTCCAGTGAACTGGTTGGATCATTAATAAATCTCCACAAAACATATGCAAACAAACTATTTTCTGTTATATTCTTCATCCCAAAAGGATGCTTCTAGAAAGAATAAGAAAAATAGTCATTTCTTATTTAACAAAATAATGGCAGATATACTACTTGCTCTAAGGAAGAATGCATTTTATCCACTTCCCAGCATCTGTTGTAAATTGCTCAGCACTCAGCCTAACTTCTTTGCTTTTCAAAAGACTTTTAGCCAATAATTTACAGTCATACTTGTATTTTTCTCTTCAACTGCAGTCTAGAAAATTTTTTGTATGATTTCATGTTTGTAACTGCAGTGTATTGCTCTTGTAAACGTTATGTAAGTACAAGTAGTCCTCACTTAGCAACTGGAATTGGGACTGACATCTCCATTGCTAAGCAACATGGTTACATTGCATGACTGCAATAGACTTTCCATTCAGCAAGCCTTCGCATCATTACAACTTGCAATTATACGGCTTTACAGCTTCTCCATTGATTTTGCTTATTGGAATCTGGTTGTGAAATGTACAAATAGTGATTATGTATCTACAGGATGTTGCAATTATTTTAAATGCCTACCAGTTGCAAAGCACTCAAATGTCAAGCATGTCACCATAGGGATACTGCCAGGATCAAAATTTCAAGAATATTTTCTGGATCTGTTCCTGCTGCTGTGGAAACTCCATGCAAGATGAAGAATATGATAGAACTATTATTTTCAAGTTTTGAAAGGCTGCTTAGCCCATGTACGATAAAGTAGCACAAGAAAATCGGTAGGGCTCCAAAGTTGCAGACCAATATATAGCATTTACTCAAGAGCCATATATGCATGTACTGTATATGTTTATCCATCTAAGTTACCATTGGGTGTTTTTGTGTGTGTTTGTGCATGTGTGTGTGTAATTCACATTATTTCCAAATTTACATCGATTAAGTATTTGAGTACATGTACACGATATACAAATGAGTGATTTCATTTGGTAAAAAAAAAAAAAATATCTAAGGGGCTATACTGTATTTTTGAAAATCCACTCAGTTCACGCCTCTTGAAATGCTGGCTGTTGATTCTGTTTTCTGGTTCTGTTTGAATCTCACTGCCTGTGCTCCTCTGCAGTGCTGCAGACCATAAAGTCTATTGCAATGGCACAGAAAGTTTCCATCAGGAGCTTCTTTGGGGTCCAAAATTATTGCCCTGCATCACTCTCTCTCCTTTGAAAGCCAGAAGGGAACTTCGAAGCAGGCAAAACCCACAAGTACTTACGTAGAAAGTGAGAGGCTGGAAGGGGATTTGCATCAGAAGAACTGCAAGCCTGCCAAGACAAAGCAGTCAGTCCAAATCTGTTCTGAAGAACAAAAACATCGCCCCATTTTGGCAGAACCTGCTCTGTCATAGGCAAACTCAAACAAAATAGTTTGACACCAACAGCATCAGGTAGGTGCCATTTTAAAGTTAGTCAGCCTGTGGGCTGGACCCAGCTTTCAGCCCCTTTTTATGACCCCATGAATCTCCCAGCTGTCACAGGGATGGAAGTAATAATAATAACAACAACAACAATAATAATACTGTCTGTGGCTAGCTGTTATGTCAAGACTATTCCATTATTCTAAAGAGAAAGTAACAATTGAAAGGGCCCAAGCTTTTCATTTCAACAAAATGAAAATCAAACCACAGGTACATAAACATCCATTCATCATCCCGCCCACTCATCAGAAAAACAATAAATCTGAGCTCTGCCATCCTGGGAGCATTTTGTCACCAGTTTTGTCTCTCCATCCTCACTGCCCCCCCAATCCATATATGTCAGGCAAAGATGTGACCTGCAATTGTAACGAATAGGAATTGATTATGTTGCATTGAATGAACAACTCATTTAGTAGCTAATTTATATTTATCAACTGTAGCAAAACTCTGATTTTTTTAGAGGTGGCTGAAAAGCAGAGAACGGTGGGTATGTTTGCTCTTTAGTAGCTAAGTGTCCTGTAATGCAATCAGCTTGCTCTAAAATTCATGGCCCTCGCTCATGTACTCTAGGGCAGTGGTTCTCAACCTTTTTAATGCCGCGACCCCCAACCGGTCGTAAGTCGAGGACTACTCAACTGGTGCAGCACCGTTTGCAGAATGGGACTTTTGGCGGACTCAGCAGGGCAGAGACAGCCTGGACAATTCCTATTGGCTTTTGAAAGCCAATAGAATTAGACTCTATTCAAGAGAGTCTATTCTGTTGGCTTTCAAAAGCCAATAGAATAAAAGGGAGTAGCACAGCTAAGGAAAAGGGGAAAAAAATGGCGGACTGTGTTGTTTGGCGACCCCTGTGAAATGGTCGTTCAACCCCAAATGGGGTCCCGACCCACAGGTTGAGAACCACTGCTCTAGGGCCATGTTTAACTATGTGACATTGAGAATAATTCTGCTTTTCAGATGATTAACATTAGGCTTATTCCACTCTATTAGATCCAACTCTAATATAGTATTGCAATATAAGAAAATAATGGATTAGCCTGGATTTGAATTTTGCTGGAGTTAAAAAACAGTCTCCATTTAAAAAAATCTTAATGACACATAAGCGCAGCCTTGGAGAAGATATTTGAATAATTATTAAACTATTTTTAGCAAATACACTCATAACTTATAGGTTTCTTTTTTAATCATAACCCCCATAATTTTCTGACCCTGTCTTATACAGGTAGTCCTCAACTTACAATCATTTGTTTAGTGACCGTTCGAAGTTACAGCGGATCTGAAAAAAGTGACTTATGATTGTTTTTCACATTTAGGACCATTGCAGCAGCTCCATAGTCACGTGATCAAAATTTGGATGCTTGGCAACTGGTTCATATTTATGACGGTTGCCATGTCCCGGGATCATGTGATCAGTTTTTGTGACCTTCTGACAAGCAAAGTCAATGGGGAAGCCAGATTCACTTTACAACCATATTACTAACTTAACAATTGCAGTGATTCACTTAACAACTTTGGCAAAGGTTGTAAAATGTGGCAAACTCACTTAACTATTATCTTGCTTAGCAACAGAAATTTTGGGCTCAGTTGTGATCATAAATTGAGGACTACCTGTATTCAATACTTCAAGAACCAAAATAAACAAAGTTGGAGATGGTGAATGTCTTGTCTTGTTTTGTCCCCCTAATAAGTTTTTGTTAGTTATCTGTGCTTTCTGAGAAGTATAAATCAGCTTTATCTATTTAATAAAGTTCATATGTTCCTGAAATTTAAACAACAAAAATCCAAATTATCAAAGGGTTTTCTCTGCATCTAAGAATATTAATATAGCTTGAAACTTATAAATTAAGATCATTTGTGGGTGTCCTGATGTTAATTTTAGAAGATCCACTAGAGGGAGTAGAAGCAGTAATGGGAAAAATCAAAGGAATTTCATATATTAGCAGATTTAAGATTAATAATGAGAAGACAAAAATATTAACAGACATGAAACCATAAGATTAATTAGAACTGATGGACAAAATGTGACTTAAGAGTGATAAAAAAATAAAATATTTGAGTATTACTGTGACAAATATGAACTGTATGGTATTTCAAAACAATAATGTTAAGACAAGGACAGACATTAAGAATGACATATTAAGATTGGAGAAATTAAAACTGTCACTGTTGGAGAGAATTTGTGTAATAAAATGGTTTTTTTTTTTGCCCAAAATGATATTTTTGTTTCAGACAATGTACGTGTTTTGACATCAGATGTATCATTTAAACAATGGCAACAATATATATCTGAATTTATATGGCAAGAGAAAAATATTAGGATTAAATATAACTTATTTAATAAGAGAAAAGACATTGTCTATATTTTTATTGTGACTGGAAGCGTCTTTTTAATTTTTTTGTAGAAGAGTGAAAAAAATGAAAAGAACGAAG